GGAATACTACTGAACTATAAAAATGATGAGATCCTGTCATCTTGTAGCAATGCCTGGTACAGAGGGCTTTATGTTAAGTGAAATAAACCAGGAATAGAAAACAAAAGCCCTGAACACATGCAAAAGTGTTACAGCAGCCACTTTGAGAGAAAAAAAAGATGACGTAGCTGGAGCAAGATGTCACAAAGGAGCCCCACTCTTCCAGCTGTTCAGTAAGAAAGAAAATGAAGGGTCTGGCGCTGCAGCTCAGTGCTAGAGCACTTATCTAGTTTGTTCACTTGGCTCAATCCCTAGCACTGCAAGAAAAAAATTAAACTTCACTTTATTCTGCATAAATGTCTGGAACCTTATTGGTCTAAGACAAGATTAGAAGATTCTCAATCCACCAGTTTAAATTGCTGAGCCCCTTACTGATCCTGCCAACCCCAATGTCCTGGGAGGGACCTGGTTATTCTTATGATTCATATGATCAAAGGTCTTAGCCCAGTTTTTATAAATAAGATCTTTTAATCACAATTCTTTCTACCCACACTTCCATCATTAAATTTCCTTTGAGCATGTTGGTCCCGCAATGACCACAGCACTTTCAGGTCCTGTGAAGGGGGCGGAGAGAGGATCCGTCAAATATGAGTGTAGTGAGAGATGCTTAGGTGACCTCAGGGAATAGTTAAGGGGTCGCTGGCTTCTAAGAATCCTCCCCTACTCTTGTGCCGATTCCCTCAAGCTTCTTTTGGTGGCATCGGGCAGTGTAGCGACATGATGTTGTGCTGATAATCACCAGGCCTTGAAATTCATGGGTAACAGTGTAAGAACAGATCTCTTTTTGTCTAGGTTTGTTCTAAGTAGGATGAACTCCAGATACAGTTCGGAAATTTAGAATTCTGCTTTTGTTTAAAATATGTGAAAGTATTTGCAGAAAATAAAGTAGTGTTTGAAGACCATAATTATGAGGAAAATGGCCTGGTGAGTGACATCCAATTCACTCCACCCAAGTCTTTAGAGAGTCGTTAACGGGGATTGGCCATTGCCAATTGTACTTTCTACTTTCCTGTTTTTAGTCACATTGCCACAATGGAGACTTATTCTGCATTTAAATAATGTTTCATTTAAGAAGGATCTAAATTTTAACATTTACGCTGTTTCCTACTTTATCATTTTATATATTTTAATTGTTAAAAGTTTTATTATTATTTAGTGGTACTGGAGATTGAGGGAGCTACAACTCTAGCCCTACCTTTTTCATCTTTTATTTTGATTGTTTGTTTTTTGGTACCGGGGATCGAACTCGGGACCTTGCGCTTCTGAGGTAGGTGGCGGAACCACGGAGCTAAATCCCCAGTCCCACAAAAACTAACCCTAACTAAATTAGTATTTGAGAGAGTGAGCTGATAAAAACTCTCAAGTATTTCACAACTGAATGTGCTTCATAATGTCACTGGCATAATTTTATTTTTCTAAAAGTCGAAATCATTACAAGTGATGTAAAATGAAGAAGTCACAATTCCAGAGGTCGGTTTCAATCCTTAGAGAACGATACCTTCCGCAGCCCATACATTTGCCTGCTACCTACGCTCTACGACTTATGTAAGTAGATCTCCAGCAGTGCTTTTTAATACTATATTATTTTCATACGTCATTTGGCTCTCTTTTTAGGTGAATCTCTTTTTCCTATTAAATATTGTGCGTGTTCTCATCACTAAGTTGAAAGTCACGCACCAGGCCGAGTCCAACCTCTACATGAAAGCCGTGAGAGCTACCCTCATCCTGGTTCCACTGCTGGGCATCGAGTTTGTGCTTCTCCCCTGGCGCCCTGAAGGACGGGTTGCGGAAGAGGTTTACGATTACATCATGCACATCCTGATGCACTTCCAGGTATGACGTCTTCCGCGTCGAGAAGGCGGCTCGGATGCACCTGTATTAAATGTGCATATACTTTTGGTCCCTTTCTGGACTACTCGTGCAGCAGTTTATTCACAAATGCATGAATCTTCGTTTGAACTCAAAAAATTCCATTTTCTTTTACAGGGTCTTTTGGTCGCTACAATTTTCTGCTTTTTTAATGGAGAGGTACGTTGATGGATTTTATTTCTTTTCTCATTGCGTTTAGTTTTTAAATGGGATTGAATTACAGATTTCCCAAGCAGTGATTTTAAATACCGTCTTTACCAAAGAAGACAACATAGACTATTTTCCAAAAGCACAAATTTTAGTCTCAAAATGTCAGATCATGTTGAATGAAGTTTAAGGCTAATAAAAAGTCAGCCTTCCTTTAAATTATTTTATCCATCACTTTTATTCATCTAATCTTTTGACCTACCACTGGGACTCTGTCCCAGGTACAGTGCTGGGAAATCCTTAACTTCATACAGCATGGATTCTAATGAGAACGGGACCTCGTTCCCCCTTTACCCCATCTTTGCTGGCTTCAAAATGTGAGTTCTAGAAAAGTTGATACAAAAATTTAAGACAGATTAAACATTTAGTTAAGCAAGGAGCAGAGACCATGGGTTAGGAAAATTAGAAGAGAATGCTGTTCTTCATAACATGACAATGGTTTTTGGATAGTTCTTGATTGTTATCCAAGACTTTCTGATTAATAGTTTTCAGAAATTTAAAAAACCCTTACTCTATTTTTGTGCAGATGGGCATTGTTGGAGGTCAGTTGGCTGAACAATATTGATGTAGTTGTTTACATATTTCTAATCTACTTGACAAATTTTAACGTGAGGAATTTTGGCAAATCTAAGCTTACAAAACCAGAGGGCAACTACATAAGATGTGGACAATTGATAACTGAAACTTTAAATGGGAAACATATGAACCCATGCAATACTTTCATGAGTATAAAGCAAATCATTCATATAAAGCAAATCAACATTTGAAATGATGTACATGTTATGAAAAACTGTCAACTATCACTTTCCTTTGCTTAAGTAAAATTGTACTTCTTTGTCTTGCCGTATACGGAAATTGATTGCTTAATTTAAAAATAAAAATTAGAATATATTTTAATTTAAAAGTAGATATTTATTTATAATTATGTGTAGAATTGCCACAAAATACTACATTTCACACCTTTATGTGGTGCTCCCATAACTCTTCTATACCAAACACAAGAGGGACTGTTTTCCTAAAGTGAATAGGAAATGTATACCGACAATGTTAGAATAGATAGATCACTTATTTTCATAATAAATTTGAACGCAGCTCTGTAAACGTACTGCTGTACACAGAGTTAGTCCTATGTGCTGCCTCTGTGGGATATAAAACATGCAGATAGAGAAATATGGATACAGGCCAAAGAGTAGGGACAAATTATGAAATGTATTCCTCTTATCTCCAGAAACAAATTTTATTTTCATAAATTAATTTTTAAATATTCCAAACATCGTTAATAAAATATTTTGTTAGCATGGAATAAGCATGACAACTTCCTGAAATCTCAGGGTTGTGACTTTCTTCTTGGCTGTTATATTTTGGGAAATGTCCGGGTCTTAGGAGTATGGGTCTATCTTTACTAAAGACAAATATTTATAAACTCAAGTCCCTCTCACAAATCTCACAAGCTTCCCTGTAAGCCAGTAATGGTAAGGTTTGCTTCAAATGCTCCTTCCTGATCCTCAGTATATTAGATTTATTATCAGATTTGTCACATAACTCATTTCTGAGCAAATACATGTGCAAATGGAAACCTTAACCATTTTGGAGTCAGCATCTCCAACCGGCCCTTTTATTTAAAAAGGGTGCCAGGGGAGTATCAAAACTAACGCCTAACACTCTTGTAACACTTTGTCTGCGAACGCGAGAGACACAGAACCTTGATCGTATGCCATATCCTAAAATTGAGAAAATTTTGGCATTAGAAGTTACAAAAATAAAAAAGTCTCTGAGCCAGGCAGTTGCCAAATCCTTCAGTTCTTCACGACGTCCCTAAGATCTCTTTTCCTTCATCTCTGGAGATACAGCCCCCGTTTGAGCATGAGTCATTTCTCATCTTAAGAAATACTACAATCCCTCCCTTTTTGTCGCTTTGCCTTTGAGTCTTTCCCACTCTCATGACACGAGGAAACAGCAGCCAAATTCACTTCGCGTGGTTCCAACTATGTCATGTTCTTCCTAAAATCATTTGCCCAAGCGTGGGTTCTTTCTTCCTCTCCATATCTGGATTCCTTTTAAACCCAGTATCTAAATTTTTTTTTCTTTTATTGAGTTTATTGGTACATTTTAGGTATACGGTACAAATATAATTCATTATTGGGATCCTGTACCTTCACATGACAGGTCTTGGTTCTTATTTTTTTCCCTTGTCCCTGCCCTCCCTTCACGCCCTCCTCCCCTCCCCATTTATAAACACTTTATTTCCATTTTTTCATTTTGTCATATTTTTTTCTTTTCCCTTACTACCTTTCCCCTACCCTTCTCATTTTCCCTGCGCCTTTATTTTTAGTTGAGCTTTTAGCTAACATCCTCCTGTTAGTATTTTTTCACTACACTGACTATAGCTTGACAAGAGCTGTGGCCACTTTGTCTCGCCTAATCCACTAGGTGAAACTAGGTGGCTCGCCTGGGTCTGCTCAGGTAGAAATAAGTAATTTAACACTGATGGGGACTCCAGTTATCAGAGCGGTGGTTTTACCAACAGTGGAAGGTGGGCCATTTGTGTGGAGTAAGCCAAAAAATTGTTGAAAACAACTGAACCCACATTCTCTAATGGGGACAAGGTAGAATTACTATATAAAGCTCTATTAAACTTAGCACTGATCTATACTAACAAACATAGACTTGGTTCCTTATTAAATGTTAATATAATCTTCACATTATAATCTAAATATTTTCATTTAATATTGATTTAAAGTTTAAAAATAAGCCAATGAAATACATATTCATATTTTAACAGTTCTGAACCTTCTTCCCGTCAGTTTTTTTCATTTACATTCCAGTGGCCACTTTAATGTTGTCTTGAACAAGTGTGATCTTGCATTAGAGGAAGCAGATAAAAAAATGTGACATCCTTATAAAGAATAACATAAAACATAAACAAACAGGAGTCTTCAAGGCTGCTCTGTCTTCAGTTGGGTTTATTTTAAATTTCAGAAAATAAAAACCCAGAGGTCAGGATATGGGCTTTCCATGTTTTTTTTCTGACAATTCAGTTGCAAAGAAGAAATAGGGTAGTGACCTTAATCAAAGATATTTCAAGAGCATACTTCCAAATATTTCAAAAGATATTTTGCCTTTTAGAATTGAATCAACATTTTCCTTTTTAAGATTACAAGTACCAGACTCACAGCTAATATATTTCCTGTCAGCTTCTTGTCAGCATTTATGGAAAATTTTTTATAGAAAGCAACTTTCTGTTTCCATTTGGTTGAAAGCTTTGTAGATTCTGTATTCAATCAGTCAAGAACTGTTGATAAAGTGAGGAGAAATATGTTCAGTAGTTCAAAAATCAGGCTGCAAAATAATTCCCATCACAAATATGATAGGTCACTTTTTTGTTTTAAATCTGTGAATATTTACTTAAAATTCACAATCTAACTTCCTCCCATTTACCATTTGCTTATGTTCTTAAATATATTATATATGCTGATATTATTTTTAAGCTACTTTAATTTATATATTTTATTTGCAAGATTTAGAATTAGCAAATCAAAGGGAAGGAAAGTATACTTTGAAATACACATATATTCTATATATATGCATTCTATGAATGTTTTTATTTTCAATGCATAGTGATATGGATAGAAATCATTTCCTTACTTTTTATAACTGCACAATATAAATCAGCTTTACAGTCCTCAGTTGCTGAATTCATGATATAAAATGTAAAACCACATTACAGCATTGTGCTTATGCAATTTTTAAATTGTAAGGGGAGGCTACAAAGAAATTTTAGTAAGTGATTTTGAGTTCTACCTAAAGAAATTACTGACTCTATATTTGGCTCTTCCTGTTTTCCTACTTGCTACCACATGAAGTAAGATAGTAAGACTGTGTTCGGTGTAAGTGATAGAATATAGGAGACTTTATCACAAGGAGCTACAAGTGTCCTGAGGATCTGTACTTGTGATAGAATGTATGTAATTTGGAGAAGGAAATTAAGAATAAGTAATCATTTTGAAAGATTTAACAGTGATTTGTATACATGAATATAAAGTTGAGGGCTTCTATATAAACAAAAGAAAGTTAAGAAATTAGTGCATAAATATGTTTATAGTTCATAGATCACTGGAAATTAAGTTTTAGATGCTTACATTCCCTGGGGACAGTAATCAAAGGGTCAAACATCATCAGAAACCTTGGAGAAGATGATTAAAACAATGCAGACTTCAGGCAAATGTAGATTATGCCACAGGGAGTGAGTGAGTTAATGTTTGCAACTGAGAAGCCGGCTGTTCCAAGCCACCCAACGCTCCTCAGACCTGCAGATGTCCAGGCAACCAAGTTCCAGATGTATCTGAATATCCTCCTTTGTACGTAGTGACTCCAAATGAAGAACATGCTTTGAGAGCCTTAAACTCTATTAAAACTCGTCATGGAATGAGACCTACTTAAGCCTGATCTCTAGTTCCAAAAAAGAAAATAAGGTTCGTTCAAGGAAAGGAGGATCCAAGTAGATAGACCAGAAGTGACATTGTTAAACTCTTTCCACAATATTAATCCCATTTGTAACTCTTCATTCAGCACCTGTCATTGCTGTAGGGAGTAAACTCTAGGAGAACAAATGCCCCGCTCTTTCATTTTCTTGCAGAAGGTAATCATTCAATGACAGGTTGCTGCCTCCACTAGTGATGAGAATGATGCCTTACAGTCCCTACACCCTTAACTTGCCCTTATGTTGTTCCTTTCTCTTGTCCTTTTGTACTATCACTACTCATCATCTCATGCTATTAATAAATACATTGACTCAAAACCAGATGTACTTTGTATACGGGGATCTGGGCTGATTACATTTGACGATACGTACATGTGTATTATCAAAGCTTCAAAGGCAAGACAAGGAATAAATTATGACTGAAATCTTAAATATAGAATAATCACAATACATATCCAAATGTAATGACTATTCACCTAATTTTAAGTAAGAAAAGAAAGCAATACTATTTATTCATACAAACTTTGAAGTGAAGCTTTTCTACAAAATGTATTTTATTGTGCTTCAGATGTAATGTATTCGTCCCCATCAATGCATCCCTCTTGTTCTTTCTGTTTTGTTTTGTCTTGTTTTAATGACAGGTTCAAGCCATTCTGCGAAGAAACTGGAATCAATACAAAATCCAGTTTGGAAATAGCTTTTCCCACTCAGAAGCACTGCGCAGTGCCTCGTACACGGTGTCGACAATCAGTGACGTTCCGGTTTTCAGTCATGACTGTCTCAGTGAGCAGTTAAATGGGAAAAGCATCCACGACACTGACAGCATTGTCCTAACCTCAGAAAAGTTATACAATTTAGTTACAGAAAATTAGGGGGATCCTTCTCTATTTCGAGCCACCCCTAACTGGAGGACTTGGACCCATGATTTTACAGTCAGAAGACTTCAGTATTACATGTATTTCTTGAACACCATAAAGGAAGACCTCAACTGAAAGGGACATTTGTGTTAACCGTTTAACAACTAGCTGTATGTGTGGGGGAAACACTGGGTTATGTATGACAGTAAATACTCCCACAATGGCTTATTTCAAAGTCCCAATTTGACACCACTGGATATGGAATCGGGGAAAGAAAGAGCATGATCAACTCCTGTGAGCTTGTGTGTGTTGGCTCCAGCACGTCACTGTGTGAATTAATCTGGGAATACAACCAAAAAGGTTCACACACGCACACACACACACACACACACACACACACACACACATATACTGGGTATGACCCTACTCTTGTTATATAAGGAGACCTATCTTAGGCTTATAGACACAGAAGGACATTTTACTTTCGGTTTATGGGCTGTAAAAATCATTATCCAATTTTTATTGGTGCAATTGAATCTCATTTGCCCAGAAAGTACTCCACTCCTTTTTGTAATGCATTCTCAAATGCCTCAAAGAGTTCATTATTCTTGTTGATTTACTCTCATTTCTGTACAAAAAAAAAAGCAACTGAGCAAAACTGCAATGAACTCCATCCTAATTTCCTGATGTATCACAGTTATGTGCTGAGACAAATCCAATTTGCAACTTGGTGAATGTATGAGATGCAATCCTATTCTATATCATTAGGTAGATATCTTGACTGATGCTTACAAAACACCTAGTCAGTTACTTTCCTGCCTCACTTCCTACCCAAGTAGGGGGTGGGAGATCAGTTTCCCTGTGTCTGTAAATAGAAACTTTTCCCCTTCCATTTCTACTGTGTAGACAAATTAAAAATCATTTCACATGAAGGAAATCAATGAAGGATTTTTTTTAATTACCTTGGGAGTTTGTAACACGCAAAATATTTTTTTTTGTGAAAATTAGCTTGTAAATATTCTATTATTTTATTTTCTAGTCTGACATCAAATATATATAACCAAGGTAATTTTTTAAAAAAGAAAATATGCAATGAAACAAAGTGTGCGTGTTAATATCTGATACTGTATCTGGGCTGATTTTATAATAAAATAGAGTCTGGAATTCTATATTTCATAAATATTTTAAGGACAACCAGGTGCCAGCATCAGAAGTTTGAGAACTAAAAAAAGGAAACATTTATGATAAGATATAAAGTATTTATTTTAAAAATTCAAAGCCATTATTTTATTGACATAGTAGCTTTGATGACTCAGACCTTAACAATGGGTGTGCTTGATATGTTTCTCCTGTTGTTTTGAAGATGAACTCACATTCTAATTCAGAAATTTTAAACCAACTACTGTAATAACTGTCAATCTTATGGATTTTACTCCATTAAAATATTATTTTAATGACTCTCACTCTAGGATGATAAATAGCATTGAAAAGATTCCAGATAATTAAAAACTAAAACCTAGAGAAATACTCTATCTATAGAATATGCAATGCTGTAGTATTTTGATAGGCTACTGTAAATAACAACAAACCGGAGAAAGACTTGAATATCTATGATTACAAAGAATTGTCAGATATTTGCAAAATAACTACAATGGAAGATAGTCTTGCTAATGAATTAAATTGACCTTTAAATGGGATTCGGTTTTCCTAATGTTATTTTTCCACTGAAATCTCTGAAAAGCAGTAGTGACTTCAAATAGTAAGAGTCAATTTGGGGAGAAGTCATATGAATGTATTTTGAAGTGTGTCAGGCAGCTGCGAATGGTCTGGTCACCATAATTGTTTTTTGGATGGCTAATAGATAGTGAGTTTGAGGTCACTTGAAATTGTCAGGAAAATTATTTAAATTAGAATCGACATATTAAATGGTGTGTTAAATGTATTTACAACTTATAATTTATATGTAAAGGCATCTAGTTTCAAATGTATGGTCATCAAAAGCTATCACGGAAAGAAACACAAGCTGTTTTGAACTTTCAAGTGCCTAAATTACACAAAAATTCCTTTTAATAAACTGAATTTTAGCTATATATTATCCAAAGACCCAGACTCATATCCTTTGCTGACAGTGTTTATGTACTTCAGCATTGCCACAATAGTACAAAATTGTCAAATTATCAGAGAGCATGTTAAAATGATATTGTGATTTTCAAGTAACTGTTCACTTTACATTAGTCAGATTAGAATTAGGTGAGAGTGCTTTTGTTGGACTGTTGCATAATTTTCACACATGACAGCCAGTCTGTAATCTATCAGTATTAGTTTTGTACCCATATATTTTTAATGATAATGTTTTTTAATGTCAGACTTCTATAAATTTGAAGTGCCAAGATCTTTCTAACACACTTTAAAAGTAATTAAACCTGATACTTTTAAAAATTGAACTGCTTTGGTATCCAAAACCTAATTTGCAAATTTTAATCTTTTCAACTATCTACCATTTTTCTGCAATTCCTTGTACAAGTGACATTTTAATTTTCTAAAAATTGTATTCTGTTGATTTTTCTCAAAGTTATTTTGTAGCATGTTTATTCATAAATAAACTATTCTGGAATTTGGTGTTTGTTCACATATAATCCAGTGTACATAGAATTGATGGTAACTGTAGTGCTGTATTTATTGCTTATACATTTTTGTGAATTTCTTTGAAATTTTTCCTTGTTTTTACCTGCTAAAAGAAACATTATCTCTAAAACTATCCAAGCTACTCCAATTAATTAAAACAACTTATGTTATACTTACTTAAAATATGTCTGTGTTTCATTTCATGAAAACATTAAAGTTACAAGGTGAAGTTGATTTCACTCATGTTCACTGGACTGCTGAATAATCTAGTTAATAAAATAATTCTCATAACATTCAGTGAGCACTTCTTAAAATCAATGAATATATCTCTATTACCTTCTTTGAAATCTTCAGTAATCCAATAATTGAATTTCATTAACCAAGTGTAAAAAGTTATGAATTTGATTTTCAGACTAAATAATCAAGCTATAATATATGCAAATCCCTTCTGATGTTATAAAAGAAAAAAGTTGCTCATATGTAGGAAAAATTAGGGATTTATCTTCTTTATTCCTTTGGGTAGTTTGATATTAAAATTCAAAAGAAAAGCAAGAAATATATTAAACACAATTATTTTGTTGTGATACTGGCGAGGGAACCCAAGGCCTTCACACTGAGCTAGATCCCTATTCTCAATTTTCTAAAAATTTGGAACAGGACCTCTCTAAGTTGCTTGCCAAACTGGGCTCCACCTCATGATCTTCCTGCCTCTCCTTCCCATAGTGCTGGAATACAGGCCTGCACCACCAGACCTGCTATTAAAGATAACTTCATAAAAATGGCAAATTTGTGACTTACACAAATGAGAAACAGAATTGTATCAAAATTTTGTTGAAGTCATTAATGAGGGAACCAGTGACATAGTAGCCATCATTCAAAGGAAAATTAAAGATTTGTATATGTTGCAGCATATAAAAATGCTGATATGAATTAATAAAGGCAAAACTATTCTATCAGTTACATTTTACTAAATAATTTGTATTTTTGTGATTAAGAAAAAGTGTGTATTAGTATTAATCTTCTACAACTAATATTAATAAAATATCTCAAAATAATAGAAATAACTCAGGAGGGGACATTAGAAAGCAATAGAAATGTCATATATACCATATATAAAAGTATATTTACACTGAATGCAAATATATCAGGGCGGAAAACATTATGTCCATTTCAAATCTATTGCAATTTTTTACAATCTCCTTTTGTTCTGACTAGAATAATTTTTAAAAATATTCATGATTAAAAATCCTCCTTGTATGCCTTAAATGTACCAATAAACTCAATTAATGAAAAAATAACGATCAAAAGTAAACATGTTGAATTGACTCAGGACACTAAATCACAACAGCACAAATAAAGAAAAAAGACAATTATTTTTAAAAAATCCTGCTAACCTCATAACGCTTGACCTGATTATCTACATAGCTATGCAAGAATGTTATTTATGATATATGCTGCTTTTTGCTTTATACATTAGAGTCATAGTGCATTTTGAACAACTCCACTGTGATACAGTTCATGTACCACACAACTCGCCATGTTAGTCTGTTACAACAGTATATTTTAGAATATTCACAGATGTATGCAACCATCACTACAATATCATTAAATTTGTATCATCTCAAGTAAGAATATACTATTTACCTATCCCTCCTCTATTCCTCCTGTTTCTGCTCCTACTCCAGCTTTATGTACCACTAATCTGATTTCTGTTGAATAGATCTCCTTGTTCTGGACTTTCATATGAATGGAACCATATGGTATGTTATATTTGTAACTGATCTCTTTCAATTCCAGTTTTCAATGTCTATACATATTTTAGCATCTACCCCTAATTCCTTTTTGTGCCTGAATATTATTCCATTATATGATTATACTGTATTTTATTTATCCATTTGTCTGTTGATGGACATTTGTGCTATTTCTACCTTTTGGTTATTATAAATAATGCTGTTATAAACACTTGTATATGAGGTTTTATTTAGACATGAATTTGTATTGCTCTTGAATATATTTCTAGGAGATGTTTTGGGTCATCTGGTTTAATTGTTTGAGCAACTTCCAGACAGTTTTCTAAGCAGCTGGACCATTTTATGTTCCCAGAAATGATGCTTGGGGGTTCTGATTTCTCCACATGGTTCCCAGTACTTGTTAGTTTTTATTTTTTTAATTTCGCTGGCCTAGTGCATTGGAAATGATATCTTGTGGTTTTAACTTGCATTTATTTGACAGTGGATGACTTGGAACACCTTATCATGTTTACTAAACACTTGAAGATAAATGACTTGCCAATATTTCTTCCATTCTATGGTTGTTCAGTCACTTTGTTTGGTTGCACACTCTTTTGCAAAAAGTTTGCAATTTTCACGAATTGCAATCTGTTAACTTCTTTTTTGGCATCAGTCATAGCTAGTTCTCTGCCAAGTTCAAAGTCATGGAGGTTTACCCCTATGATTTATTATCAAGGCATTTATTGCTTTTGCATTTACCTTTAGAACTTCGATCCATGTAGAGTTATTCACACCTATCATAATTAGCTTCTCTTTCTTTGGTGTTTATTTGCAACACATAAAGTTACATTCATTTGGAGGAATTGGGACGTATAAATTACATCTTCATCATTTTCTATCGTTTATCTCACCTCCCAAGTCTCCTTCCTCACCCTTCTTCTGGTCTTCTTCCCCATCCTTCCAAGGCTGCCTCTCTATTTCCTACCATCTTTCCTTTATTTTACTCTTTAGTTTGGTTATTGGGTTTCTTGTATGTAATAGAATCCACATGATATTCAACTTTCTGTGTCTGACTTATTTCACTTAGCCTTGTAGTCTCAAGATCTGTCTATTTTCCTGGAAATTATGTGATTTTTTTTCCTTTATTACTCAATAATATTCCATTGTGTGAATATATCACATTTTCTTTATCCCTTCATTTTTGGATGGGCATCTAGTTTTTTTGCAGAACTTAGCACTCATGAATTGTTCTACTATAAACATGATATGCATGTATCACTACAATGCGATGTCTCTAACTCCTTTAAGAAAATACTCAGGAAAGGTACAGCTGGATCAAATGGAATTTCTATTTTTAGTTTTTTAGGGAATCTCTTTATTGATTTCTGTGATGTGTATACTAGTTTACATTACAACCAACAATGCAGAAAAGTTGCCTTTCTCCACATCCTCACCAGCATTTGTTGTTTTAGACTTCTAATGCTAACCGTTCCAGACTGGGCTAAGATCAAATCTCAGAGTTGTTTTGATTTCTACTTCTGTAATGGCTAAAGACAATGAACATTTTTTCATGTATTTATTGGCCATTTGTACTTCTTTTGAGAAGGGTCTTGTTTGTTTG